CGTTTTAACCACAGTTTTCGATGCATACGCTTCATGCTTTATTGTTCGCTTTCACAAAGGGTAACAGGGGTATTTATGTCTTAAATTATAAGATTTGATCCACAGCTTAACTGTGCAAGATGTGTAAAGATTTTGCAACTATATCACTTTGATTTATATCCACAGGAAAGTTCAATTTTCATAATTGAAAACGTATTCAACTGAACAGATCCGGTTCAAATGTACGAAGCGATAGGAAAAAGACTTCTACTTTTCCTTTTTTCCAGGAACTTTTTTGAATGGTGTAGTGTTTTTTTATCATCAATGTGAGAATCATGCTACCCCTGTATGATTTGCAATTATGTCCTTTTCGTATGTTATTGTCGTGATTTTTCCGCATAATTTATGAATAAATGATTTCCGAAATTTTCTTTTTTATAGATTTTTGAATATTCGGCTTTGAGCGTTCCTGATGAAGGTAAATCCAGAAAAGCGCTTCGGACGCATGAAATTTATAACGTGTTGTTTTCATTTTTTGAAAGGACGTTTTTCCGAAGGCACAAAATCTTAACCAAACTGCAAAGAAGAAAGATTGTCGAAGGACACAATCTCATTCCAACTTTTTGGAATGTGTGATTTTCGACGCTACAATCCCATTCCTACTATGAAGATTGTGATTGTCGACGCACATTATCTCCATCCATCTATAGAGATTGTGAAATTTTCGACATACACCGCATAATCTCATTTCAAATAAAGATGTGTGTGATTTGCATTTGTTACACACAAAATTTCTTTACAACTATGGGCATATGTGCTTATTATATATAGCACACAATCTCATTCAAACTATGAGGATGTTTGATTGTCGACCCATATTATCTCAATAAACTTTTGGCGCTCGTTTGTGTGGAAGTCTCAAACAATTTTGACTGCATCTTGATTTTTACCAATCTTAAGTTCAATTCATGAAGGCACTATGGTATTTCCATGTTTTTAGGTATTTACTGTTTATCTTTGCAGGCCAACACACTTTGGTGTGTCGAATGCAACTACACAATAATTATTGTTCATGTGAATTCACATAATTAAAAAAAGCTAAAAGCTGATCAGGGAATCAGAGCTTTTGCATGGGGAGATATATTCCTTTATTTGAAGTTATTTTCAAAATTTTATAAAAGCAAAATTACTTATTTCTGTTGACTTTAAGGAACTACTAGAAACTCTAGAGGATTAGTTGTCTCTGTTGACTTCACGGAACTACTGGAAACTCTAGAGGATTAGTTGTCTCTGTTGACTTCACGAAACTACTGGAAATTTTATAAAAGCAAAATAACTTATTTCTGTTGACTTTAAGGAACTACTAGAAACTCTAGAGGATTAGTTGTCTCTGTTGACTTCACGGAACTACTGGAAACTCTAGAGGATTAGTTGTCTCTGTTGACTTCACGGAACTACTGGAAACTCTAGAGGATTAGTTGTCTCTGTTGACTTCACGGAACTACTGGAAACTCTAGAGGATTAGTTGTCTCTGTTGACTTCACGGAACTACTGGCAACTCTAGAAGATTAGTTGTCTCTGTTGACTTCACGGAACTACTGGAAACTCTAGAGGATTAGTTGTCTCTGTTGACTTCACGGAACTACTGGAAACTCTAGAGGATTAGTTGTCTCTGTTGACTTCACGGAACTACTGGAAACTCTAAAGGATTAGTTGTCTCTGTCGACTTCACGGAACTACTGGAAACTCTAGAGGATTAGTTGTCTCTGTTGACTTCACGGAACTACTGGCAACTTTAGAGGATTAGTTGTCTCTGTTGACTTCACGGAACTACTGGCAACTCTAGAGAATTAGTTGTTTCTGTTGACTTCACGGAACTACTGGAAACTCTAGAGGATTAGATGTCTCTGTTGACTTCACGGAACTACTGGAAACTCTAGAGAATTAGTTGTTTCTGTTGACTTCACGGAACTACTGGAAACTCTAGAGAATTAGTTGTCTCTATTGACTTCACGGAACTACTGGCAACTCTAGAGGATTAGATGTCTCTGTTGAATTCACGGAATTGGAAACTCTAGAGAATTAGTTGTTTCTGTTGACTTCACGGAACTACTGGAAACTCTAGAGGATTAGTTGTCTCTGTTGACTTCACGTAACTACTGGAAACTCTAGAGGATTAGATGTCTCTGTTGACTTCACGGAACTACTGGAAACTCTAGAGAATTAGTTGTTTCTGTTGACTTCACGGAACTACTGGCAACTCTAGATAATTAGTTGTTTCTGTTGACTTCACGGAACTACTGGAAGGTCTAGAGGATTAGATGTCTCTGTTGACTTCACGGAACTACTGGCAACTCTAGAGGATTAGATGTCTCTGTTGACTTCACGGAACTACTGGAAACTCTAGAGGATTAGATGTCTCTGTTGACTTCACGGAACTACTGGAAACTCTAGAGGATTCGTTGTCTCTGTTGACTTCACGTAACTACTGGAAACTCTAGAGGATTAGATGTCTCTGTTGACTTCACGGAACTACCGGAAACTCTAGAGGATTAGATGTCTCTGTTGACTTCACGGATCTACTGGAAACTCTAGAGGATTAGATGTCTCTGTTGGATTTATTCATTATTTCAGACTCGCGGCTTGTTATTTGTTGTATGCGTTTTTCGACCATTGAAGACCATTTGACGACATCCTGATCTTAGGTGTATGATTTTTAACCCCATGTTTTAATTCACCCACATCTTGTTAATTGTTGAAAGCTTCTTAACTGCACAAAATTCCAAGATCACAAGCGATGCCGACGATTTTTTTTCAAATCCAAATGACTATTGTAATTTTAGAAAATTACAAGTTTTTGTTCTTCGTAATCAACACTTTGCAAAAGAAGGAACTAGAGGTCAACTGTCATTTCGTTCTACATGATACTTCTTCAATTACAATCAACAAAAAAGCTGTATAATACTTATATGTCAAAATATGATTGAAACTGGTTTTTTGGGGGTATATGGCTTATGACACAGCTACCCGATGACACAAAATAGAAGACTTGTAATATCGTTACAATCGGTCAGTTATATCGTTACAATCGGTCAGCCAGTGTAATATCGTTACAATCGGTCAGCCAGTGTAATATCGTTACAATCGGTCAGCCAGTGTAATATCGTTACAATCGGTCAGTAAGTGCAGTCTTTAAATCTGCACACCAAAATATATATCAACGAATTTTGAGAAAGATGTACCCTGGAATAATAGATGACAAAGCTTGGGTGAAAAATTGTAGGATCGTTTTATAACATTTGTAACAACATTCTGAAAAGAGGCTTGTGAAAATATCACATGTGATAACCATTTGATACAGAGGCTTGTGATGAGGTGTTAACTTATTTTCTATGTCAGTTCCTATGGTTTCTTATAACATTCGGAACAGAGGCTCGTGACAATGTGTACACTAGTTTTCTGTGTTCATGCCAATGGATTGCCTGTAAACATCGTCTTGTTCTACCTCTGAACATCGTAATTGAATTTCCGATTCATGATTTTTGTTCTTTTTTTAAGACACTGGTGTCTTAACTTTCTGGTTTTTTTTTAACACATTCATATTCGTAACGTAGGTTACTAAGTGTATTTTTTTTCCAAAAAGGATTATCTAACTATTTTAATCACTTTTTGTATAGTGTCTAAATTATTACTTGTAAATACTAATAAAAGATTTAAATATACATTTGTTCTTTCATTACTTTTTTTTGGTATTCAAACAGAACAAGGTGGTGTTCTCTTTGGTTGTACACCAGAAGACAAGTACATTTAGTATGTGAATTTGTTGTAACAAGTTAATATGCGTCTGACATATAAATGTACTTAATATGACCGTGACCTAATTTTCACACTTTATTGGTCAGGTCACATTTTCCGGTGTTACCAGGTTTTCTTTCGCAGTAACTTTAGATGACTGATAAATAATATGTTGTCTATGTTGTACTTTGGTGTTAAGAGTTTTCTAATATATCATTTAAAAGGATGTTCGCTACTCTGTTTTAAAATAACAAGCTTTTTAAAAGACTGTTATACATTTTTAATAGTATATAAATAAAGGAACTAAAAATGCAGAAAAAAGTGAATGGTCCGTGAGCTTGTTTTCTAGATATAAGCCACTGAAAATTTGGCAGGAAATGATTCTTTCTATAGTTTTCATATATTTAACGTTGACACTTTTTTCCTTTCAAAAACTATGAAAAAAAAACAAGGATTTTATAACATTTTCAAATATGGCTTTTTAAAATATATGTATTGAAATTATAAAAAGAAAAGTAGGGGTTAGCGGGCAAATTTGTTTAATGGCACTACATGGATAAAGCCAGAGGATTCCGAATATCTGGCAAAAATTTAAAAATAAGTTGAGCGAACATCCTTAAGAGTCAAATTTACTGATTATTTTCATGTTGTGACGTTTTGACTGAGTTTTGCATGGTGGGTTAATGCATACCCTTTCTCGCTTCTTTTTGAGTTCATACGATTCCCTCAGCTTATTGGTTTTTTCCATTGATTTGCATCTTCTTTGTGGATTTATGAGATTTGAAAATCGCCAACTAATATGTTTCAAATCCACTTATCAATTATAATTTTATCCACTCTCGATAGTAACGTTACAGTTTTAAATTAAAATGCTTGTAATGCCTCGCATTTAAAATTTGTATATCATCTCGAATGGATAAACAGCACACTCTACGGGAATTTGTAGAATCCATGATGTTTTGTTTGTCCGTCTTTGGTCCTTATTTCTATTTTTGGCCATGGTGTTTTCTAAACTGGTCCGCCATTCCATCTAAATTTCCACACCGAAGTGTAGCGATAAGTGAACACAACAGGGGTCCAGTTTAGGTGTTTTCTGTCTTTCAGGTTTTTATTGTCTCCCTTGAACCTTCTTCCTGTTTTCAATTTCTGAGTGGCTACATCACAGATTAACATGATCAAACATCTGTGACCATGACTTTAACATTATCAGGCAATAAATAAATATCTTTAATTACAGTTCTTTATTTCACTGTTACGAAATTGTGCACAATAATCGATAATTTGACTAAATTCTGTTTAAGATTGACTTTGATTTCAATTTCGCTCATATCACACATGCACGAAGACAGACGAATACACAGGCACACACACACATGCACGAAGACAGACGCATACACAGGCACACACACATGCACCAAGACAGACACACGCACAGGCACACACACATATACAAAGACAGACATACGTACATGCACGAAAACCGACACACGCACATGCACATATACACAGGCACAATTGTTCAGTTATTGAAGTTGAGAGACAAGCTCTGTTTTCTTGCCAAATGAGACAAAGTCAACCTGACTTATAGAACACAAGCCACCTTTGAGATTATATAGTTATCCCCTTATCTGAATACTGAATGTAGTATTTATATGTATGAACGGGGATACATACATTCCAAATTTGCAAGCAAGCAGCAAAATAAATTAGTAAACATAATATATAAAAAGTTCAACAATTAATATACAAATAGTACTCTAATTTTGTCGTTTAAGTATAGCACTAGATAAAATGTATTAAGTATACAATTGTGTGTAAAAATATAAACGATGTGTGTGATTTTCATCTACCCAAGCATCCCGTTGACTATTTTTCTATTTCTAATTTACAACTACAATAGAATATTTGTCTATACAATGTTGATTGCGGGTGGAGTTTTTGGAACTAAACAGTCTGAACTCGAATTCATGCAAGCATCCGCCGATGATGTCACTTCCTCTGCGTGCTGGGTTTCCTGGTGGCGGCGGAGGTCGACTTTCCTTTGAAATGACCGACCACATTTCTGACAACAGAATGGTTTGAAACCTGTGTGTTTACGGCAGTGAGTGATGAGATTTGATGACTGACTGAATGCCTTCCCACAGTGGGTACACTTGTATGGCTTCTCACCTGAAAAATGCAATATATGAGAGTTATCAAAATCATGAGCAAAGTAATGAATTAAAATGTTTGCGAACCTCAACTCCATACTATAGTGTTACTAAGATATTTTTAATTGTTTCTGTAAACGACTACCATTCTTTATGATAATTTAGCGGTCTGCGGTTAATTGAAATCACATAAAATGTCAAATCGAACACGCCCATGCGACAACCGAAGTTATAACAGAAGATAAACTGAGATCAGATATAATTCTGTTAGCGTTATCCACATTGGACTGTTAATTACAAGTCCTCGAGACTCTCCCATTAAATTAATGCTTCCTGATCAGATATGGGGTTCAATAAGGTATTACAACAAATAGAGATAAATTGTACATTCATGTCAGCCTGTTTAAGTCGTATTAGATATAAGACTTCAAATCTAATATACCAACACCAAACAGGTCTTGATTGCATAAAATTCTTACTTATTCTGACGATTCGAAATTGATCTAAATTGTTTATTAAGAATTGTGAAATAGCACCAATATTAATATGGTTTAAAACTTTAAAATGTTGTCAGTTGTAGTGGCAGAAGAACGTCAGATTGTGATTGATGGAAGAAAGTCAAGTTACTTATAAAAGAAACAATAATCTTACAGAATTATCATTTTGTACTTGTATTTAAAAGTTCCATTTTTGATGGGTTTTTTTGTTATTGCTACAATAGTAAAATGAATCTGAGCTAAGCTCGTACCTATCACCCCAAACCGATACCTCTGTCAGATTAAATTAAAGACTCTAGAGTCATATATGGAAACTATATGCAGATTACAAAAATTAGTATTCCGAATGGAAGCAAATAAACTTCGGGCAAATCTCGCAAATCAAACTCAATCTAAAGAAGTTTCTATTACACTGATCAAATCAAAACATCGACGATCTTCCATGATTTACAAAGACTTCTGGGAAAATCAAATATCAACTGATGTTGACGTTGTCCTTTTGACGTGTCGATTTCAATTTTATTGACAAGTGCAGCAGAATGTTTGACGCTGATCTGATTTACCAACGAGTAAGATATAATAAAAGAAATGACAATTACGAAATGCAAACTTTCCATACCCCCTTATATTTAATTTGAGAAAATTCTCTGTCGAAATGCCTTTTTATTTACAGATTAGAAAAGATCTTTCCACAGGGAGAAAAAAAGTCATTCACCCTCACAAATATTTTGAAGTCTGTTATTGTTTTTTTCCAGCTATGATAAGCTATGCAGTTGCAACCTTTTTACTAAACCTGTCTGCTAACGGTGCAGTAAAATTTTGTAAAATGCATTGATTGAGTACAAAATTATATTGAATTGCATAAATTAATAAAATACACAATAATCAATAAATGCTTGAAAGATTGGAACAACAATAATGATACAGATCACTGAAAGATCGTTTTGTGTGCGAGTGTCTCTGCATTTGGATGTGTGGGTTGGTGTTGTGTTGCAACACTTCATATATCCTTTTATGCTTAACGAAATATACCCCCGCTCTACATACATTAAAGTCTGTCACCTTAAAATACAAGACTAATTTATGCACTTTTATTTTGATTACCAAGACTTAACATACTTCTAATTCATGTAAACACAAGTGGCTTGAATTTCAGTTTTCTTTCGAATGCCGTCTGTTGTTAACCACTTTCATCATGTTCATGTAATTAGAAAAATGACACCACTAAATTAAGGTGAAGTGACGGTTAATGGGTCATATCATAGATTTGTGTCAAATATTGCGTATAGCTGCGGTATGTTGAAATGGAACTGAAAATCGAAAAAATAATGCATTTTCTCTTTTTTTTTCTGAAATATAACTGCATGAATTCTTTCAAAATATGTAAACTTAATTCGGTTATATTTCAGAAAAAAAAATAATATATTATTTTTTTCGATTTTTAGTTGTAGTTCAACGAGCCAAAGTTGTACGCCAAATTTTACCAAAATCTGTGACATAACACAGATTTTGGTAACCTTGACCTTAAGGAGATTAAAAAATCCGAAAGTATTGAAATTATTTCGTAACAATGGTATGTCATGACATGCAGATACTAGCGAATATTTATAAAAACAGCAAACAGCACGGACAATGTGAAAATTAAGTACAAATATTTACCTGTATGTATGTAGGTGTGTTTTTTCATGTCCGATTTCTGGTGGAATCGTTTTCCGCAATATGGACACGGATAAGGTCTTGTGTCGCTATGAATGAGAAGATGGGTAGAAAGGGTTGAAGACCGCTTGAATGATTTTCCGCACTGCTGGCACTGAAAAGATTTTTCTTGAGTATGAACGGCTCTGTGTTGAGACAAACTCACAGAATGACCAAAAGTTTTGTTGCAAATGTCACAAGCATAAGGTCGTCTACCGCTATGCGAACGTCGAACGTGGACTTCCAAACCATGTGGTGTGCTGAACTGTTTCAGACATTTTAAACATTCGTATAAACCTTTTCCAATAACTTCTCCCTCTTCTGTGTATTTATGTGGAAACATTCCATGTGACAAATCTTTTCTTTGACCAAAAAAGTGAAAAAATCTTGGATCTGTCCAAAGAGCTTGTTGCCCGTATGTTAGAAAATTAAATGGAGAACGATATAAATGTTGTGCCCATTGGTAACGATATAAATCACTAAGTGATGGTTTAAAAATATTTCTGGATACTATCGTCTGATCTGTAATAAATGGAACAAATTATCTTTTATAAACAGTTTATATGGTTATATAGAAAATAGTGCGTTTTTTTTATTTTACAGACTAAATTTTGAGAGGAAATTTGAAAAAAAATGATGTAAATAATTCTTCAGTTAAACGTATAAATATTTATTCCAGACATTTGAAATAAAATCCCGCATAAAACAAATGACTAGTACCTGAATTAGTTTCCGAACATTCTGTTTCCGGATTTGTACTCTCTGTTTTTGTCGTCGTTTTACTCTCGCATAACCAGGGACGAAATGGGTTTGTCGTAGAATTGTCTGGATTTAATGTTGATTTATTTACACCGTTCTCTGGATCCCTGGAACAAGAGGCACCCTCTGTTAAAACATTAGCAGTCGGAAACTGGTGGAATCGTCGAAGCAAATTGTGATGTGCGATTGAAATTTCGTCTGAAAAGAAAATAATTGATTGTAAAATTTGTTGTACAATTGCCTGATTTAAGTTGTTGAACTATTGCCTGATCTGATTTGTTGCACTATTGCCTGATGAGAGTTGTTGTACTATTGCCTGATTTAAGTTGTTGAACTATTGCCTGATCTGATTTGTTGCACTATTGCCTGATGAGAGTTGTTGTACTATTGCCTGATGAGAGTTGTTGTACTATTGCCTGATGAGAGTTGTTGTACTATTGCCTGATTTGATTTGTTGCACTATTGCCTGATCTGATTTGTTGTACTATTGCCTGATCTGATTTGTTGTACTATTGCCTGATGAGAGTTGTTGTATTATTATACCTCACTATGTTTTTTCTATATAAAAAATAATGAAATAATTGTGCTATTTCATTCCACAGACTATTTGCCAGTCAATAGTTTCAAAGACTATTACCCCGGTTAATAGTTTTATAATCATATTTCCCGTACTTTTTCATGCTTATTTTTCATTGGACAATAATGACGTCATTAACCATTCTGCTTGGATTTTGTGTGCTTGGTAACGTCAAACTCTAATATCGTAAACAGTATAATACATGTGTCGATCGTAATTTCACTTACAAGACGCAATTATAAAAGAGAAAGAAAATCTTTGCGACACATTTTTTAAAGATCTAAAATATAGTACTTAATTTATAAGATGGGTTTGTCGTCGTCTTCTTGACCTGTATTTGCGTTTGGTGTACTTTAGCTAGAATTTATTATATGCACGGAAAGTTTAACACAAGTATTTCTAGTCTTGATTGCAATTAATGAAATATTTACAAATACAACATAGACTATAAAAAACAAACGTATCGTTCATCTTATGCATGTCAAGTTATGTGACATTTTTCTTTTCTTTCAGATGATATATGTACACTTTTAGAAAGTAAGTTAGATTGGTATAATAAACACTTAATGATTGTGTTGTTCAGTATAATAAAACACCTAATGACTGGTTGCCTATTGTACTATTGCCTGATCTGATTTGTTGTACTATTGCCTGATTTGATTTGTTGTACTATTGCCTGATTTGATTTGTTGTACTATTGCCTGATTTGATTTGTTGTACTATTGCCTGATCTGACTTGTTATACTATTGCCTGATCTGATTTGTTTTGTTGTATTATTGCCTGATTTGACTTGTTGTACTATTGGCTGATTTGATTTGTTGTACTTTTGCCTGATTTGATTTGTTGCACTATTGCCTGATCTGATTTGTTGTACTATTGCCTGATCTGATTTGTTGCACTATTGGCTGATTTGATTTGTTGTACTTTTGCCTGATTTGATTTGTTGTACTATTGCCTGATCTGATTTGTTGTACTATTGCCTGATCTGATTTGTTGCACTATTGCTTGATCTGATTTGTTGTATTATTGCCTGATTTGACTTGTTGTACTATTGCCTGATGAGAGTTGTTGTACTATTGCCTGATGAGAGTTGTTGTACTATTGCCTGATGAGAGTTGTTGTACTATTGCCTGATTTGATTTGTTGAACTATTGCCTGATTTGATTTGTTGTACTATTGCCTGATGAGAGTTGTTGTACTATTGCCTGATGAGAGTTGTTGTACTATTGCCTGATGAGAGTTGTTGTACTATTGGCTGATTTGATTTGTTGTACTTTTGCCTGATTTGATTTGTTGCACTATTGCCTGATCTGATTTGTTGTACTATTGCCTGATTTGATTTGTTGTACTTTTGCCTGATTTGACTTGTTGTAATATTGCCTGATTTGATTTGTTGTACTATTGCCTGATTTGATTTGTTGTACTTTTGCCTGATTTGACTTGTTGTAATATTGCCTGATTTGATTTGTTGTACTATTGCCTGATTTGATTTGTTGTACTATTGCCTGATTTGATTTGTTGTACTTTTGCCTGATTTGACTTGTTGTAATATTGCATGATTTGATTTGTTGTACTATTGCCTGATGAGAGTTGTTGTACTATTGCCTGATTTGATTTGTTGTACTATTGCCTGATTTGATTTGTTGTACTTTTGCCTGATTTGACTTGTTGTACTTTTGCCTGATTTGACTTGTTGTACTTTTGCCTGATGAGAGTTGTTGTACTATTGCCTGATTTGACTTGTTGTACTATTGCCTGATGAGAGTTGTTGTACTATTGCCTGATGAGAGTTGTTGTACTATTGCCTGATTTGACTTGTTGTACTTTTGCCTGATTTGACTTGTTGTACTTTTGCCTGATCTGACTTGTTGTACTTTTGCCTGATTTGACTTGTTGTAATATTGCCTGAATAAAGACTAAAATTATATCAAAGCACCGTTTTAGGACAAGAAAAAAGGGCCGTGTTAATGTGATGACAAAATAACTTTTAATTTTAAAACAAATTAAGTATAGATGTTAAGCGTCTTTGAACTATGACCTATTTAGGACTGATGTTAAGGATAAACGTCATTGCTTTTTTTACAGTCGCTTCAATTTAATGAAACGGCTACCATGTTTGATAATATCATTGAACTGGATTCCATGAAGGTTGCAGTTTAGATATAGAACTCTTTATTTGCAGAAATGCTACTCTTTCCTATGGCCAAAACGTTCAATTTATCAAACAAGTTCTAGAATTTATAAAAAGAATACAAAAATTCATCGTGATATAATTTCAACATACAAGGTGAAACACACATCGTTATCATCTTTGTCGTTCTTTAATGGTCACCTTTCCTATTTTCAATTCAGTTTTTATACTAATATTATATTTATATTTATAAATAAGTCTAAATTGAAAACAACGTTCAAACCTATGATTGCGTTGGATAAAAACCGCAATTTTTAAACGTGTGCATGCAAAACAAATTTCTTGGTAGAGTGGTCTAAATACAGCACAAACAACATTTTCCAAAAGACCAAATAAGTGAAAAAGTATATTTAAACAAAACGCATTTGACTAACAGGTCCGTCTGAACCAGTGACAACTCTACGTAACACCCGGCCACCGAAAGCTTGATTTTAGTCGAGCCTAGGTGGTCGAGTGGTCCAGCTCGTCGGGCATAGTGCAAGGCGATTTGGTGCCACGATATGTCAGAAGCATGAATTCGAATCCCGGCCAGGGAAGAACAAATATTTGCTTCCGCAAATTTACAGATCTAACATTGTTGGGCTGTTATTTAGACGAATTATATATATATATATATAATCTATAATTATATATATATCTATATATTATCTAAAGCATGCTCATTTTAATGTTTAATTGTTATATATTGTACAGCAAAGAAGACTCAGTCTACATAACTATGTTTTACTTGAGTATTATTGTTTAAACTAAAACTAATTGCTAGTCCCCCGGGAAGAGTCTTATGTTTTCATTCTCGTATAGCCCATCTATATAAAAAATATTCATGTTTTTGTTTAAGTGTTGGAAATTGCTAGGGAAGGTAATTCCGGAAAAGCGCATCGAGCTCATCAAAAGGGTTACAAGACTTAACTCGAATAATTCTACGCTCTCTAGCGGCATATAGCATAATGGAGCAATCGGAGATTAGTCGGAGTTCGGCGGAATATAACGACTGACATTATTCGGGTTACACGCTTCTGTGTTTTTTAGCATATCGTCTAAAAATATATCATGAGTTGAATGATTACAAACAGTTAGCGTAAAATGGTCCCAAACATATATGCTTTTAATTCTTAAGATTTCGGAATTTGTAAATTCATTAAATTGTTAAATTCAAATAATACACTCAAATTGCTAATATTCTAAACGATTATAAGTTTATATAACAAAGAAATTATAGAGAACAAACTCACTCACGCTTGAAGTGTTCCGCTATGTTAGAAGGTCTGAAAGGGGTTTACGGAAGAGAGAATAATGGGCTAAAAGTGGCAGAATAGATGGCCAAAAATAAAGAATTGAGAAAAATAGGCATAAAAATGAGTAGCGAATCATGTGGTGCTGTAATATAAAGATTAATGAATAAAGGACAAAATAAATAAAGAATAGAGAAAATGGTGTACATAATTAAGAAATGAAGGACCCCATCCACACCCTCGGGTTGCTACCAGTCTACATTGGACACGAAAATGAAATGTTGCGAAGTAACATTATCTGAGTTTATTAAATGTTCGATTTATTTATTTATTTATTTATTTATTTATTTATTTATTTATTTATTCATTTATTCATTTATTCATTTATTTATTTATTTATTCATTTATTTATTCATTTTTCTTTTTATTTTTGGTTATGTCTATGTCCATGTAATTGTCTATTATATGTTGGTCCTCGGTCATATCTTATTACATTCGGTAATGTTTAAATACGGGACAGTTCTTATTGTTCCCTTTTCAGTTAATCATGTGATTGGGTTCAGATCGTTCTATTCATTTGTATCTTGGTAATCCATGTGTCCTCTCATTACTTAGCCTTGATATTGACACTTATAATTTGAAAATTTATCTAAATTTCTTTAATAGAGTTTTTAAAATATTAATATGTTTGTGCGGCTAAGATTTTCAAACAGATAAAATAGACACATTCAGTATGTAATTACAGCTTCTTCGTAGACAAATGAATAACAGCTGTGATGCTTATTTCAAATTTTAATTTATATGAATATGTTTTTTTTTCTGTTAATTTGTTAAACCATCGTTATATCATATAAGTCGTAAATTAAAACCAGTTCATGCCTTTGAAATGCTTGCAACATGTGTCGGATTGGAGATACTAGCCATTTTTTATACAAGTATTAACTATAAAAGCGGAAACCCAATGTATTAAACATTGATTGGTTAATTGTTGGTTGAATATCGCCCAATGACAAAGTACGTTAATCAACTCACATTCAATCGTCATAATATTTTTTTCAGCGTTATGTTGGCTAAGTTAATTCCTCAATACACACCTGTCGCAATACTTTAAAAATAGTTAAATAAAAGAAGGTAAATAATAGACTATGCATTGAAACCAAACACCATCGAAAAAAACACCAAGAGGTACGTCAACTTCATATAATCAAAATCAATCGATTAAATGTGTTTGTATTCTAGCACGTTATCTTACAATCATAACGTAAATTTATCATACATATTAACTGTTACATAATGTGAATAAAAGATGATGTGACTTAAACGTCAATGAGACAACAGCCAATAGTACGTAAAATTAAATTTTGTTATCATTTAACAATTGTTTGCTTTAATTTAAACGCTTGCGTGTGCTCTCTTTTTATAGTATTGATGTTCGCCGCTTTTAACTGAATGAAAAATTTAATATAAAAGCATTGCGGAAATTTATACGTCTCAGTTATATTGATTGCGTTTACAATTCTGTATTACCCCCAAGGGTGACTGGGGAATAGAAGTATGGTCACCATTGGTCTTCCTCCGACCGGCAGTAAAACCCGTGCTAAAGTGGGGCGTCCGTTTGGCTGTGCGGGATGTACAAATTTGCAGCCACGTCCGGTCAGAATGGGGACGTTAAATCCGATGCCTCGTGTAAAGAGAGTGCCACGCTCTTTGCACGTTAAGAACCCTTGCAACATCTCTTTGAGGGGTCCGTAGGTGACCTGTTGCAAGGCTAAATTTCTGTCCCTATCCAATATACCCTCATTTCCCGTGGCAGTCTAAATTTCTCCGACCTTAATCCCTTAATCTATTACAGAACCTACCTGTTGTATTTATTGTGAACTTGTTCTCGTCCTGAATATGCATGAAATATTTGCCACTGGACGTTAAGCAACCAACAATCAATCAATCAATCAATTCTGTATTTATACAAAATGATTTACAATTAAGCTTAGATAAAAAAAATGTGATAACAAACAGATCCCCCCTCCCACAAAAAAGGGAAAAAGATAACTAACAGACCCCCCCCAAAAAAAGGGAAAACAATTAATTAAACATACAACTAGCACAATTGAGACGTTTGTACTAAGGAAAAATTATGGCACACGAAAATTCGAACTATGGTAAAATTTGCCATAGGAAAATTAAACTTACTATTTATATCATAGATTATTACCTACAAGGAGATCGACATAATGATTATTTATTCGATATACTCTTTAGCCACCGATTATAAAATGAAGTATTAAAAGAGGGTGTGGATGGGGCCATTCTTTTCTGTATTCCTTTATTTTTTTAGCTATTTTTCACATTTATGGACCTTTATTATCAGTTTTTTATATTTTAGCACCCCATTATTCTCTATTCTTTATTTTATTTGGTCCATTTTTCTATATTTTCTTTTTTTTTTGCCCTTTATTCATCACTTATTGTTCATCATTGTCTATTCTTTAAACCCCATTCAGATTCACTTAAAAGAAATAATGACAAGTGTGGTTGATTTTTTTTTGTAATTTTGTGTTATAAACTTTATTTCAATTTTATCAAAACTACGGATCAGTTATTTATAAATTGGCTATTTGGCAACGAAAAAAATTAAGCAACGATGATATGTGTAGTAAATATGTTTAAAAAGAAAATAAAAGAAAACATGTACATTTTACAACAATACGATTATAAAACTAAAAATTATATATATATTCAAAATAAAATACCACAACAATTGGGAAAGAGAACGATTTTAAACAGAACATTTGATCAATATTCAGAAATAAATAATCGCGATCGTTGTAAAATTGTTAAACAAAATCATATTTAGGAGAGAGAGAAATATAACATTTTTCATTGTTTCTCATGGTTAATTGTATTTATAAGCAAGAATGCACTTTAATAATTCAGACACTTAGATCGTTTTGATTTGATTGATTGTAAATATAAGGTAAGCTACTTACTAAGAAGCAGTAATATTAGCCGTAATTCATTTGTGCCTATTGCCTTGTTAAAAGTGTACCAATTTCGCCACTGTCTATTTACTTTAAGGCATTGTGCCGAAAAACTGCCACTGAACTATGAGTGATCAAAATTATGAATACACACAAAAAATAAAAAATAAACCGTTCAGTTATAGAATTGTTTGCACTTGTAAGGAAGTCTTGGCATTTCTTTAAAGATCATTTTACATCCAAAATTGAAAAGGCATGAACTGGTGAATTAGACTTTATACAAAAAACTAGAAAGTCAGAGTTTGATAAAAGTATGCAAAAGAAAACAATCTGAGAGATATTCTAAGATAATCAATTCTTTGAAATTGGTGAAAATAATTGAGAAAAGGAACTGATATATATTCGCCGTCAATTCAATGGCAATAAGGAACCTGCTCCAAGTTCGACCAAAAAAGAAATCTTGTATTATGCTACAGAATTCAATATTTTTCTTGATTACATTGGTGTTGTAACGAACAAAGACGTTGTGCAATGAATCCGAATGCGTGTTAGTTTTATTTTGATGTGAAACTTATTTGAACAATGATTTTTATTTTCAGAGGACGTTTTTTTCGCTGACAAAGGGGTTAATTTATAGTACATATCTTGATATCCCTCAAGCATAGCTATCATTTCTTGTCCAGGTTTGGTTTTGATTTTGGTCGTTTTCGGTTTTATTAGCTCTTCGATGTTTGAATCAATTTTTGGATTATCAAATATTCAGTTTGAAGAGTTATGTACTGTTGAAATGCGCATCTTGTGCAGTTAAACTGTTTTCGTTATTTTTACTATTAAAGTAAAAATCAAATACATTTTTTTTTAAAACGCGCAGCTGTGTGTCGGCTTAATATGCGCAAATAAAACCTATTTTTTAAAAACGAATTGGCGCAAAAGTAAAATTGGCACACATAGATTATGGCGCTTTTTAATGCATTGTTGACGCAAACAGATATCGGCCCTAACATTCAAGGATATTTTAAAGATATTTTTGCAGGACTAAAAGCACATTTATTTATATGTCGAATAGTTCGCAGTGTTATCAACATTACACTCTTATATCTTACATACCTATCAATCCCTTAAAATCTTAAATATTGTATATAAAAAACAAGAACAAAACAATTCAAACTCGAGAAATTTGTCAGTCCGAAGGTTCCGTTATATCTGTACGGAATGAAAAATAATTAAGAAAAAAGTAAATAATAAGTAAAAAGACGAGAAAAGTTTATTTTTATTAATTTTGTTAAGTTATAAAACTCTATCGTGAGTGCTCCAAAGGCATCATGTTGATTTAGATTTTTATTTTTTCAACACTTTTTATAAATGTCACAGTTAAATATAGTAAAAAAAAAATGTTAGTTCGACTCTTACGGTATTTAATATGCACATTGTTTTTTCTAACAAATATCTAAAATATCCTAAGATGACATTTGGTTATTTAGTCATTTTGGTTGCTGTCTCAATGACGTATACCTTACATCTTCTTTCATTTTGATAAAACATTTTCGTTCATTTAGATTTTAAAATAAAAAAAAAAACTACACACACACAAAAAACAACAGACGACATGTTTATTGGGTACTCAATTATTCTTTACACAAATGATTTGAAATTTTAATATACTTTAAGATACAAAATAAAAATTGTATCTTTTCTGAATCACATATATTTCTTATTTACACTTAAATCATAAATACACTTACCCATTGGCTTTCCTGTTACTGATTTAAATGCACTTCTGTGAAAGTCCGTCATTAGAACAAAATGTGAAACAGTTAATAAAAATACTTATATTTGTAATAAGTTATTTTTTTCAATAATGAGAAGAACTGTACTTTTATATTACACTTAGATAAAACAAATTGAAGAGTTGTCATTTAAAGTGTATTGTCCATTTGAGAAACCACAATTGGTATAAGATTTGGTCAAATATTATTATTATATTAAGTTTAGATAATTCTATTTTCTGATTATATGCGAAGCATGCGCAATGGAAAGCATGGCACAGGTGCTGGAAGTCTCACAGAAAAATACAGCTTTGTGATTGGGTTGATTAAATCAATATCTTCTTAAGTACCAACCTTTTATGGCAAAATATCTTTCTGATTTGATAATTTATTTCGACGTGGTCTTTAACGATTTAATTCAGTTTACTAATAATTTACAAAAGCAGACCAATAAAATTATAATACGCCAGTGAGTTCTCTTCATAAACCTAACAGTTGAAAAAACAACTATATTAATTTCCTTGTATATTTCTATTATCTAAACTGACTAAGAACGTAAGAAAAATCTGTTAAATAAACAAAAGTAGTGACAGCTTTTATTGGCTCACAAAATTCTCGAATTTTGGTCTATAACTTTTTCGTTCCTAAACTGATTGTTTGTTTTGCAAATTATAATTCTATAGAAAAGTGAAATGTTTTAAACATGACCACATAATAACAACAATATTAATTATTGTTTTATGTTATTTTACAAGTTGGTTCAAATGAATAAACTGATGTAATCATAAATCTTATGACAACTATTTGAATTCCGTGTGAAGCTTTTCGTATACGGAATTTTCATAAGTTAATGTTTTCATTACAGATTCAATGACTAATAATTTTCAGAATTTATCTGAAAAAATAATATTTTTTTGAAATATTCAAATTGATATTGGTTAAGACAAATTAATGTCTTAACAGGAATGCAATAATTTATTTTAGAACAATAAACGGAGATAACCACACAGCCTAGAAGCCCTGCATAAGTTAGTGTTGTAAGCTTCCATCTGTACTCGATTCTCCTTCTATTTCTCAGTTATTCAATTTATTATGATTGTTATGACGACTTTCTACAATATTACTTCAATAAATTGAAATAAAAGTTATCAACGCATCCATTTATCTATGCAAACAATTCGGATTTATATTTTGTTAAGTATTTTTTCTTCTTTAGATTTGTCAAATGATTAAAGGTTTATTTCTTATTAAGCTAATACAGCATCGGATGTAAGCGAATAAAACATACTAAAATTAATAATAAAATATGCAATAATAACGTCAATGATAATAATCAACATCACCTTTAAAATAAAAAAAAAAAAATCATAACTATTATTTTTTTTTTATTATAGATATAACTACTTGTACAATTTTAACCTTTTTGTTTTAAGAAAAATCCCGTGAAACTGAGGGGAAAAACCAAAAATTATCTTTCATTAAAATTTGAAACTTTGTTAAAACAAACTGTTCTTTGTAGCTTTTTGGGGAAATGATCAAAGCAAGTAAATCCTCTTTCTTTCTGTTCTAGACTAGTCACTGGACTATAAACCAGTAGAAACTTTATTTATTAATCACCTTATTACCAAAGCAGTAAAATCTATATTCATTTCTACTGACTAAAAAAAAAATTATATGCATTGTTATCAACAAGATATGCATTCCTACCAGTCAGTACAAACTATATTCATTCCTACCAATCAGTACAAACTATATTCATTAAAGTATCTCGGCGTGGTATAGTTTAGTTTGTGGTGTGTTTCATACAATATAAAGCGAACAGTTAACGTCGACTCCTAATTTTAAAACGTGCAAGGGCCTTCGTAGATCTTCAAATATTCATTTGTATTTCTTTGATTTTAGGAGGGCAAAAAAAACCTTTAAAAATATATAAAGGGTTAAAAATGGGAATGGCGGATTTTTTTGGCCAATAATCTAAATATATACATTGAATGATATAAGTAGAATATATTTAATAGTCAAATAACTCAGTTTGTCTCTTCACAAGTCTAGCACACAATTCAACAATTTGATTCAATTCGTGTCTTGGATGTCTCCTCAAAGTTCTGACAACCTTAAATGTTTTACAAGTCTGATGGCGTGTTCGACATAAATTCTTCTATTTAGTTTGTTGCTCTTTTTTTCCCCCTTCTCGGTGTTGTCTTAATTGTTGTCTCCTATATGGCATAACAATAGGTGGACGGGTTCTCGATAACTCGTAAGCTTCCGGGGGCTTCGCCCCTCGAACCCATACCAGAAGGTCCACTGCCCTGGACCCGCTGGGGGCCTTCAGACCCTTCGTCGAAGTCCAGACGTACACTTAAAAATGACCAAGCTGCTACTGGGAATCCGTGATACCAAGAAAAAAAAACTTCCGACCCTTCACCGAAACGTAAATTTAACATGCATGAATAGTGCCCAAATGTGGTAATCTTTTAAATTTTAATTCGAAAACCTCTTCTGTCCGAATAATTAACTGACGAAAGTTGATAGAAAGAAAATGTCAGGGAAAATGTGAATAAGAATAAATAATTCACACATTTTAACAGGGTTTTTTTAGGTATTGTCCCTTTTCAGCATTAAATTAAAGTGACATTTCTAGACAAAAATAAAAAATAAAGATAATCAAATTGAATACGCTTTTGTTTCATTCTGTTATTTTTTTCATTGTCAAGTACACAAATCTCCAGTTCTTTTATTAGAATGTTAAGCTACACATTTCTCTATTCTAGAAACATGATATAAAATAAGGGAAGTGGTACAATGTATGATTGCTAAAGTAGACATCTATCCCCCAGAAACCAAATGACATAAATGTTGGCATAATGTATATTTTAAATGAATTTCAAATAAACGAACATAATGAACAAAGAATGATGTAGAGTTAAAAAAAACGGATTCGGATGTGATTTGATTGCATTTTTTATTCATTTTTTTTTATCACTTTGCGGATTTTCCTTGCAGTCGTTCAACAAAATAGTAAGAAAATTTGGGGACAACGATCTTAAACTTAATCGATCACTACTATGAAACAATGCATTTTTATAATAATAATATTAATAATGATCGTGTTGATTTGCTGTATCCTCGTCGGTATATTGCGGAATAAATTGTTAATATTCTATTGTTTAAAAATCATCTCAGCATTATCAAACAAACCCATACAGGTAACTATAATGACTTATTATCTGTGCTTTTTGAGATGGTCCCCACTATAGCTTATAGTAGTATTGGTATTTAACATCAGCGCCAAAATCGTATTGACTTTCCTAACACGTCTAATACTACCAATCAGTACAAACTATATTCATTACTACCAACAAGTACAAACTATATACATGTTTCACCATACTACCAACCAGTACAAGCTATACACATTTTTCACCCTACTACCAACCAGTACAAGCTATATACATTTTTCACCATACTACCAACCAGTACAAACTATATACATGTTTCACCATACTACCAACCAGTACAAGCTATACACATTTTTCACCATACTACCAACCAGTACAAGCTATATACATTTTTCACCATACTACCAACCAGTACAAACTATATACATGTTTCACCATACTACCAACCAGTACAAGCTATACACATTTTTCACCATACTACCAACCAGTACAAGCTATATACATTTTTCACCATACTACCAACCAGTACAAACTATATACATGTTTCACCATACTACCAACCAGTACAAGCTATACACATTTTTCACCATACTACCAACCAGTACAAGCTATATACATTTTTCACCATACTACCAACCAGTACAAACTATATACATGTTTCACCATACTACCAACCAGTACAAGCTATACACATTTTTCACCATACTACCAACCAGTACAAGCTATATACATTTTTCACCATACTACCAACCAGTACAAACTATATTCATTTTCACCATACTACCAACCAGTACAAACTATATACATTTTTCACCATACTACCAACCAGTAAAAACTATATTCATTTTTCACCATACTACCAACCAGTACAAACTATATACATGTTTCACCATACTACCAACCAGTACAAACTATATACATGTTTCACCATACTACCAACCAGTACAAACTATATACATGTTTCACCATACTACCAACCAGTACAAACTATATACATTTTTCACCATACTACCAACTAGTACAAACTATATTCATTTTTCACCATACTACCAACCAGTACAAGCTATACACATGTTTCACCATACTACCAACCAGTACAAGCTATATACATGTTTCACCATACTACCAACCAGTACAAACTATATTCATGTTTCACCATACTACCAACCAGTACAAACTATATACATGTTTCACCATACTACCAACCAGTACAAACTATATACATGTTTCACCATACTACCAACCAGTACAAACTATATTCATTTTTCACCATACTACCAACCAGTACAAACTATATTCATTTTTCACCATACTACCAACCAGTACTACCAACCAGTACAAGCTATACACATTTTTCACCATACTACCAACCAGTACAAGCAATATACATTTTTCACCATACTACCAACCAGTACAAGCTATATACATTTTTCACCATACTACCAACCAATATCTATACTTTTGCAAGTTCTTTTGTCCCATTGAATAAATACAATATACAATTATGGCACGTTGAAAAGGTGAATATCCAAAATTGTCAACACGAGAAGGTTATTTCACTAAAGGCGCAGTATATAGTTTGTACTGGTTGGTAGTATGGTGAAAAATGTATATAGCTTGTACTGGTTGGTAGTATGGTGAAAAATGTATATAGTTTGTACTGGTTGGTAGTATGGTGAAAAATGTATATAGTTTGTACTGGTTGGTAGTATGGTGAAAAATGAATAGAGTTTTTACTGGTTGGTAATATATGTAAGGTATAATTATAGCTATTGTTCTCTGTGTAGTTTATTCAATTTCTTCTAGGAGAAATCTATCACTCATTGATTAATTTACCTGAGTAAAAAAATAATCTTATAAATAGACAAAATTACATGTTTTATACTAAAAACACTGCATGTGATGTTGTGTTTATTCAATATCAATAATATATTTTCAATCTGTTCAATATGAACACTGATTTAATCATAAAAAGTTGATTTCTGACAAAATTTTTAGCATTGTTCCTATT